GTAGTGTTGTTCCATCTAGAACAACCTAGAGGCATGATATAGCACATTGTACACTGCTTTTCTTCTGCAGGTAGAGCACCCAGGCTTGGACCTGCTTCCCTCACTTCCAATCCACTTTATCAGTCTGTTGATTGCAATGGAGCGTGCTGCTGGATGGAAGTGGAGAGCGCTTCTGTGTGTTGATACATTAAGTACGTCTGTGTCCAAAATAAACATGGCCTGTGTGGGTTCTTTATGTATTGCACTTAAAAGAAGCATTTAAAGAATTTAGCTATTATACATATGCATTGGAGAATTTGGAAAAATGTTAAAAAAAAGAATCTTGAGACCAGAAAATAAAGCCAGGGACAGTGGCCTACGCCCTTAATAAGAAGCTACTCAAAAGACGGATGAGAGGACTGAGCCCAGGAGTTTGAGACTTGGCAATAACATAGGGAGATCTGGTGGGGTGCTGTGCAGGTCCTGTCCTATGAGCCTATGACCCCAGCTACTCAGAAAGCTGGTTTAATGTCAGCCTGGGCTATTGGCCTTGTCTCGGCGGCAGGGTAACAACAAACTTCCAGGACTAGCGCATAGCCCTAGAGTAGAGCACGTTTCACAGGAGCAAGGCCCTGAGTTCGTTTGCTGGGAAGAGAAGGAGGAGGAGGAAGGAGAGATCCGCCTGGCTCTGCCTCCCAAGTGCTGGGGTTAAAGGCATGAGTCACCGCCACCCGGCTCCTCCATCACATTTTCTTATGGACCAGCTGTCTTTCCATAAATTATAGCTCAGGCTCACCCAAACTCCTTGACTCACTCGGCTTTTAGAGAGCCCTGCCCCACAGAGGTAGACTAAAATGAAGCAAGAGGGACAGGGAAGTGGGTGGGGGAAGGGAGGTGAACTAGGATAGCTCTCCTGGGAACAGGGTGTGCGAAAGCTAGGACAGAAGTGCCAGAGAGCTACAGAGTACCCAGTGGACTGAAGTAGAATTTCTGGGGACACTGTGAGCTTTGGTGAAGTATGATCTGACATGGCTTAATAGAATCACCTGGTGTAGCCTAAGGTCATGCAGATAAAGGATGTCACAACAGTTGGGACCCAGGCTCACTTGATCTCAGAGCAACTTGAATACATAGTTCTTTGTTGATGGGACAGTAAGCCATGTGTAGCACATCTGTTTATTACACAAATGCAACACTAGCCGGCGTGAGGCCCTGGGTTCAATTCCCAGTATCCCCCTATGCGCATACACACACACACACGCACACGCACACGCACACACGCACACACACACATTCATACACATGTATACACATTCTCACACACACTCATACACATGCATACACATTCTCACACACACTCATACATACACTCACACATGCATGCACACGCATGCATACACACTCATACACACATACATTCTCACACACTCACATGCACTCACACACTCATACACACACATACACTCACACACACCCATTCACACACACTCATACTCACACATACTCATACACACTCATACATACACTCACACACACACACTGGTGATGTCGCAGAAGCAGAGTGTAGAATAATGGATGGCCATCAGAGGCTAGGAAGGGAGAAGAAAGAAAAGGGGCGTGGGAGAACAGCAAAGGAGGTGATCATAGTTGATAGTAACTTATTATCTATCTTGTAAAGTACAAGAGGCGTTCTCCTAATGCAAAGAATGCTGGATGCTTAAGGAGCTGGAAATGCTAAATTACCTTGATATGAAAATTACATTGTAGATGCATCAAATCATCATACAATATGAATATGCACAATTATTGTGTCAATTAAAAATAAAGTGGCAAGAAGAATTTGCCATAGAACTTCTGATCTGAAGCCCAGGCCGCACGCACTACCTGAAAGGTCTGTGCCCTCAGACAACTTACTCAACCTCTTGATTTCTTCATCTATAAAACGGAAGTGGTAGTAGTCTCCTTTTCGTGGGGCTTTTAATAGTATTAAATAAACGCCAGTGTCTGGAATATGGTATGCATTTGCCGTAATTATTATCTTTTTATAGATGAACCATCATGGGATGCCCTCATCATCGCTGAAGCTGAGCACATTTGCATGCCAATCTGGGGACATGCCTTCCAAGTCCAGGGCCTTCTGTGTCCACCAGACACTCCCAGGCTCCACTGTAAGAGCGGGCATCTTCGTTCAGTCCACACTTCTAAACTATTATTATGCCTTTGACTGAGCAATTGTTCAGCAGCTTCTTGACAGAAGCCATTCCCCGGGAAGAGCTAATGATGCCTGCCTGTAATCAACCTCATGCGTGAACTCTCAAAGGCTCCCCTGCTTGGCAGTCACTCCCCTAACCAGGAGGAGCAGTCCATGATTAAAAAAAACAAAACAAAAAAAAAAAAAAAACTCAAGAATTCCATTGAGATGGCACTCTCAGTCTTAAACATTATGACAGGACTGTGCCTATAACTCCCTTCCCCTGTGGAGTTAACAGCAGGGCTTCTACCTTCCCAACGCCCTTGTAAACAGAAAACCGCTCCTGCTTTGTTTTATTGTTCAGCTTAGATGCTATCACCTGCTTTTATGCGAAAAGGCGGAAATGTCCCCTGTATGCTGGACTCTTGGAAGGACACTCTGCAAACAATCACCTTATAGACTTGTGGCAGAGCTGGTCTGGATAATTCTGACGCAAAGACAGCTAGCAATCGCAGCTCAAGTTCTAATCTTCCCTCTTTGCCCTGCCAGCAATTTCCCCTAAGCCGCACTCCCCCCCCCCCCCCCCCCCGCCCCCGCCTGAATCTTGGGTTTGGCTTGTCTATTCTAAAGCCATCCCATATTATGTCAGCAATGACACTGTCCAGCATGTGTTTAGTGTGCTCTCTACCTAGCCTTGCGCTAGCTGTTCTATGGTACAGGGCTCCGGACAGACAGTTCTCAACCTGTGGGTCGCGCCCCCTGCCTCTGGGGTCGTATATCAGGTATTTACATTATGATTCATCACAGTGGTAAAATTACAGTTATGAAGCAGCAGTGAAATAATGTTATGGTTGGGGGTCGCCACAGCATGAAGAACTATGTTAAAGAGTCGCAGCGTTAGGAAGGTTGAGAACCACGGCCCCAGGTGCTGCTCAAAGAGCCTCAGACGCACAGTTCCATTTCCAGGTAAGGCTGTGTGACCTGGAAGTTCAGTTATGAACCTGAGCCAGCTGACTCGGTACACAAAGTTCTCTCCATGTGCATCATCCCGCCAAAGTGTAGAAACAGCTCGTAGGATAGACATTTCCTATTTTCAAAATAATGATACATTTTCAAAAAAAGCAATCAGAGGAAAGTTGCTTAAGATTAAATACGTTTATAATGAGATGGGAAACAAACACTCCTTCTTCTTATTGATGAAATCTAACGGATAATAATTGAGGGCAAAATCTGACCATACGTCACTCATGGGAAGAATGAAATCATGGGACCTCAGCTTAACTGAGGTTCAAAGTTACCATTTCTGATGACTCAGTACTTTGGGTCAAGTCTTCACCAACTCAGCAGAGGGTGTGGCTACAGAGGTGACCCTGGCCCAAAGTCAGCGTTTCATTCCTGACATTGCCAGATTTCTCTGCTAGCCCTTGGGTGAGCTCATTACACTGTGAGCTATCTTTGAACATTTAGAATGAAGTGAGGGCCACCACAATAAGATGCCACCTGGAGAGAGGGCAAGCAGAGGGACGAAACACTCGTTTAAAAACATTATAGTCGTTTTCTATATTTGTCTGGTTCCTGTGCTATCACTGAGACAAGTTTTCATCTGCACGTGATGCTCCGGCATCTCAGAGGGAAGCCTTTCTGTTTTTAATTACTAAAGGAAGAAAGTTGCTAAGTCCATCCTCTTCTGGGAGGAACCCTGATCCGGAGTAACACAGTTAAAACTCAGCACCAAGAGGAACATATGGTGTAAAATACAAGAGATGGGAAGAATCTCAGACACCATCCAGATTACCCACAAGTGATCTTTTTAAGCACTAAAGCTTTGACATTTATGTTTAAAAAAAAAAAAGTAAAAGAAGAAGCCAAAACACATTTTTCACATGAGGATTAGAAATAATTATTCAAACACACACTATATATATATATATATATATATACATTCACATTTCCTATATTGAGAAATAACACAATCATGTTACTGTGCACATAAGGACTACTGATTAATTCATCCACAAAACCTGAGAAGACATTTACTATTATCTAAAAAAAAATGAACAAATTAAAATGTGACACCAATTCATTCATACATGGCAAACTCTCCTGCTATTAGGAATATATTTTACATTAAAATATTTATTTGGGGCACAGACTAAAATCGCTTTGAAATCACTCACAGTCTTTACATTTTCCCGCTGCCCCTACATACAGTTTCGTGTCCAATGTTTGAAGTTACCATCTTCAAACTACCATGCAACCACTCTCCTTTCTGAGAATGATATTATGAAGAGCCATTTTATATATTTTTGTGTTGTATATTTTGTGTTTAAAGCCAAAAGGAAAAAAAAAACTACTGCAAAAAAAAAAATTGACTATCAGAGTGAACATCTCAAGTTATTTCAGCTCAAAGCACAACTATATCATTACTATTGAGTTAACATGAAATACTGCCTCCAAAAATTCTTTTTGATTTGATGACAAGCATAGCATGTATAATGATACCACCAGCTGTGAGTACTAGTCTTAACAGGTAAACAGAGTGCTTGACTTGGTGTTTTCCTAACTTGAGCTAACAACACTCCCACCCCCATCCTGGTGTTGGGGATTGAACCCCGGGACTTGAGCATGCTAGGCAAAACCCAGTACTTTCTGATGCATCTTTTTGTGTCCAAGCATAAATTTGGCTCTAGAAGAAACCCCAGAAACCATCTAATCTGACCCACCCCCTTCCCATTAAAATGCGGCTTTATAAACACAACGCAAAATATCTCAGATGGTGGCAATCTGAGGGCACTCAGAAATGAGCCTCAAGTTTGAGTTCAGAGTTTACCTTCGTAAGATCCCCAGCGAATCTCCCACTGCATTCTTCACGCCTTCCTTCCCAGGTTTCAGAATTTTTTCTTTGAAGGTATCAAATGCTTTAAATGGCATTTTGAATCGGGGTGAGGGGCACCTCTGAGCCCTCCGCAGGCGGCCTCAGGAGCTGTAGTCCTCTCTCATCTCCAGCTCAGGGGCATTGTGTTTGCCCTTGAGAAACACTCCAAATTCAGTTCTCATGGGGGGAAACTACTTGAAATCAGAAAGAAGGGGAAGCCCAGCCCAGGTGTTCCAAGAAGAGAGAAAACCCTCTCCTCTTGCTCCAGAATAAACAAGGCTGGGGCGGGGAAGTGGGGGTGGGGGGGCTGGGGGGGTTGCTAGTTAGGAATCCAGCCCCTTGCAAAAGCTACAGGCTGAACAGCCAGCAGCCTGTGGCCGCTGTCTTGGGCAGCCACACTCAGACTGAGCCCAGCCCGTCTCCCTGGCAGCAGCTGAAGAAGCTGAAATGTGCTCCGGTGCACATGGGGTCCTGAGACCAGCAGCAGCAGCAGCAGCCTCGGAGGCCAGCTCCAGCCCCTCCTGCCTCCCTCAGCTTGCTGCGGCTGCTGTCAGCTTCTTGCCCAGAGTGATGCTGTAGAAACCAGCACAACACCTGCCCCTTTATTAATGGGCTGTCAGCCAGGGCAGGAGCCCAGAGTGAAGTTTATGAAACATTTACAAGCCCTCTCCTTTTCTGAGGTCCAGTCCCCACACACAGGCTCTCAGCCACCACTTCATGCCTTTTATTCCCTTCAGGGTAGCCGGAAGGCAGCTTTGCAGCGGCGGCACAAGCTTGGATGTTGTTCAAGGAACGCTGCACTTTAGGCTCAGTGCATACCCCAGGCCACAGCGTCTAGGAGGGGTGATGCACAGATAGATGCCTTTAGGACTAAACACGGACACCTGAGTTTGTCCCACGGCCTGCTCTGACTTCCTCATCACTTGTCTCAAGATAAGTAAAAGCTTCATTGCAGCACCTGAAACTTCTCCAGGGACCCTGGCCCCCTGTTTCCTTTCCCTCTGCTCTCCATAGCAACCCTAGCTAGAACTCAGCGAGCTCCCTTTTGCTTCGCGGGGGTTTCCTCAAGGGATACCCCTTGCCGAGGTAACCTTTCTTGCCCCTTCACCTACACAGCTTCAGGAGGTTCCTGTTTCTCAGAGGCATCGTTTCAAAGCCTCATAGACTGGGAGAACTGGCCGTCTTCCATGCCACCAAACTGCCTGGATGTGGATGATCGTGGTTGTGGCCTAACCACCTTCGTGTGGAAATAGCCGGTTGCTTCCACATTACGGGCTTCAAGATGATGCCTCCATTGCTAATGCTGCCGTGAGGAAACAGCTTTGTCTTGGAAGCTCTGATGCTCCAAGCCCAAGATTGCTGTGAGACACCCCATGCGTGGGTAGACCCTCAGGATCCCAGCAACTATTTCCACAAGGCTGCATGTGTTCTCTACACACTGCAGTCCAAATCCTTCTCCAGATCTGAACTGGCTTCAATTAGCGGTGGGTCTTAAGAGGCTCAAGAGAACCAGTGCCTCCCAAAGTCTTCCTGTAGTCAAAGCTGTATCATGCACTCCCCCCACACGCTATAGCGATTGACCTACTGTGGCTTATGTGCAGTGATTTCTTATTTTTCCCAATTGTAGTGATGGGAAACTGAGGCAAGATGAAGTTAGCTGGGTCTGAGATCACACAGCTCGTTATTAGCATACCCAAACAGCACTGTCTCTTTCTTCCGAAGTGGACAGTACAATGAGTCTTTGTCAAATTTACCAACTTGTAGACCCATCTCCATGAAGCCATTTTGGAATATTTCTATCACCTACCTAGATCTCTCATACTCACTGTTAATCTCTATCCACACACACACACACACCCCTTCTGGCCCTTGCCAGCCACACATGTACTGTTTCTGTAGACTTACCTTTTCTGGCCATTTCCTATCAATAGAATCGTGTGTGATTTGGTCTCCTATGGCTGGCTTCTTTCAGTATGCGAGATGTCCAACTGACAGCATGTATCAGTTCCTTTTTGCTGTTACTGACATTTCATTATGTGGATATACTGTATATGTATAACATATACAGTAACATTTCATTGTATGGATACACCACACACTGTCCATCTATGGATTTATTGATGGGCATTTCACTATTCTTATTTTGATAGTTAAGAATAGAATTACTGTGAAAATTTGTATATGACTTTCTGTTTTTATTTCACTTGGGTAAATGCTTAAAATTCCTAGGTGATATAAAAATGTACATTTCACGTCTTAAGGAATCGCCAAATTATTTTCAAAATGGCCAAAGAATTTGACAGTCCCTCTAACACATCTGATGGTTCCCATTTCTCCATATCCGTGCCAAGGTTTGCTGACGTTTTTCAGTATAGCCATTGTAGTGGGTATAACAGCATCCCACTGTGCTTTTGATTGGCATTTCCCTGATGACTGATGACACTGACCATCTTTTCACACGCTTAGGAGCCATCGGCATCTTTTTGTGTCGGGGGAGGTGAAATTTCTATTCAGACACTTTACGTATTTTAAGTGGGTTTTGTCTGTTGATTAATAATGCCGTGGGTATGTGTTCCGGGCACAGGGTCTTTGTGAGATAGGAGTTTTGCAAATGTTTCCCTAGTCTGTTTGTCTTTTCACTTTCTCTATATATGTTGAAGTGCAGATTTTTTGTATTTTGATGAGGCAAAAATTGACCCATTTTTTTTTTTCTTTTACGAACTTTGCTTAAGCTGTTCTGAGGCCTCACAGGTTTTCTCCTGTGTTTCATTCTCTGAGCATTATTGTTTCAGCACTTAAGTTTGAGTCCGTGGCCCCTGTTGAGTTCATCTTTATGCAAATTCGTCATGTGAAGATCCAATTGTTTTAGCATCGTTTGTTAGGAATGCTATTCTTTCTTTTTTTAATGCATGTGTGTGTGCATGCATGTGAACATGTGTGCATGTGCATGTGGAAACTGGATGACGGCTTTGTATCATCCTCAAGGCACCCTCCACCTCCTCTGAGGTAGGGTTTCTCACTGGCTAGCAGCTCACCTAGTAGTCTAGACTAGCCAGTCAGCAGCTCACCTAGTAGTCTAGACTAGCCAGTCAGCAAGCCCTAGGAACCCTCTTGCCTCACCTACTCACTGGGATTACAAGTGCATACCACCGGGCTGGGTATTTACACATGGTTTCTGAAGACTGAAGTCAGCTCCTCATCCTGAAAAGCAAATGCTTTAACGGCTGAGCCATCCCCTCAGCCCAGAAATGCTCCTTCCCCCAATGAATTGCATTAGCACGTTGATTTTAAATATCAATTGAACAAGACTGTGAAGATCTTTGCACTCTGAATTTTGTTCCATCAATCTGTATGCCTACTTAATACATCAGTATCACACTGTCTTGACTCTCGCGTTATAAGCTTTGGATGAGAAAAATGAAAAGTCCTTCAATCCTTCAACTTTGCTCTTTGAAAAAGTTGCCTTGGTCCATTCTAGATATTTTGCATATGAGCTTTAGGAACAGCTTTTCAGTTTACACACACACACACACACACACACACACACACACACACACACACACACACACACCTGCCCAGCCCTGTGCTCTTAAAGGGATATTTTCTTGCCACCAGCCTTGCTAATACAATCCTGCATGGTACAGAGCTCGAAGGCCCCAGGAAACCACATGTTTTCTACCATCTATCCCCTCAAAGATCATTCATTTGTTCAAAGCAAATGCAAGCCAATAAAACATGATAAGCAGTCTCTTCCACAGAAAACATCCCTTAGCAGAGCTTCTATGTACTCTTCAACTCCCAAATAGTTTCAGGCTACTTATATCTTACATGCTGGGAGCAGAACTCAGCAAAGACCGCATGAGTCTCTAAGGGCCTGATCTCTGAGAGCACCAGCCATTCCTGCCGAAAGCACTGGACATGAGTCTGTTGGTGCTGTGGACGGTTGATGATAATAATCACTATGATGTTTGGAACATTTTCCAGGTGCCAGACTTCAAGCATTTACTATTCACTGGTTCATTTAATCCCCACAATGACCCTGAGTAGGCTCTATCATTATGTGGCACCCAATGAGAAAATCGAGGCACAGAGGGTTTAAATAAACTTGCTGAGGCTCACACAGCTAAGAAACTTAGCTGCTGGGATCAGAGGCCTGGCTTTAGAACTCGTCTCTTAACTCTGTATAGACCTGTTGTTTGAGCATGCAGCCAGTGTTCTAGTTTGGATCAGAAGTGCTCACACACAAAAAAAAATTGCAGTTAAATTATAATCTCCAGGGCTGGAGAGATAGCTCAGAGGTTAAGAGCACTGACTGCTCTTCCAGAGGTCCTGAGTTCAATTCCCAGCAACCACATGGTGGCCCACAACCATCTGTAACGAGATCTGGTGCCCTCTTCTGGCCTGCAGGCATACATGCTGTATACATAATAAATAAATCTTTAAAAAAAAAAAATTATAATCTCCAAAATAAAGATATTTAAAATAGGCCTAATTAAAATGAATGGTGTTGACATAATTTGCAGAACTTTATCAGGTTTTATAACTTTATAAGTAATACAGGAAAATATTTCTCTTACAAACTTCTGCATCATTAACATTTTACTAAAAAAATGTAGAAAAACACAGTCTGTGTATGGCTATGACCATACATGTTAAAGTTCTATTTGAAGGAAATACAATTCATATGAATTTTTTTTGTTTGTTTTTAATGTTTGAGACAGGGTCTCACTATGTAGACCAGGCTGACCTCAAACTCACAAAAACCAACCTGCCTCTGCCTCCCAAGTGCTGGACTAAAGACATGTGCTACCACCACGTGACGATGTATGGAATTTTTTAAAGTTATATTGTATGTCAGTGAGCCAGGGGCTGTTTCTCTTTGCTATAATTCAAAACTTAAAGAGTTGTACTTGGTTCTACCAATTTCCATTCATTGTGGCACACAGGAAACTTAATTTTTAACTAATTATCTTTCAAAATTGTGTGCTTTCTAAGTCATATAGTTATACTATTGATTCCACTTCACAATTTTTTTTTTTGCTGTAGGATACTAAAATTTCCATTGAAAGATGGGGGGAAAAGGCAGCTAAATAAAGAACTAAACAGCAAGCCAATAAAAAAGCATTTCTCTATGGCCTCTGCTTCAGTTCCTACCTCTGGGTTCCTGCCTTGAGTTCCTGCCCTGACTTCCATCAGTGATGGATTGTAACCTGGAAAGTAAGATTAAATAAACACTTTCCTCCCTCACAACCCAAATGTGTATGTGCTAAAGGCCTGCTCCTCAGCTTGGTGTTACCAGTCCTGAGGAGGCAGGGCCAAATGGGAGGTCTTTAGGTCATATGGATGCGTGAAGAAAAATGTGGAACCCCGATCCTTTCCTCTTTTTCCTTTGTTTCTCAGCCAAAAGGTAAATGATGTTGTTCTGGTACATACTTTCACCGTAACATTCCATCATAGACTCAAAGGAAAAGGGCTCATTGATCATTAACTAATGCATACAAAATCAGAAGCCAAAATAAATGTTCTCATTTATTGGTGGGTTACATTAGCTATTTAACTGTAGGAGCAGGAAGTTAGGACTCACACGACCAAACTTTTCAGGACTGA